CCCTATTATTTAGGATAGGAATATATTTACTATGGATTTTTCAAATACCTTTGTAAATATATACTTCTTTCTCGTTTGTTTGTTTGTTTTTTAATTTTTTTTTTTTTTTTTTTTTTTTTTTTTGAAGCAATACTTCTTTCTCTTTTTGTAAACAACAAAATGGTCATTTTGTTGTCAATTTCTTCATGAATACACATATTATGGTAAATTGGTAATATGATAATACCCTTAAGATACATGTGAGTTTATCTGTAATCCCTAATCACTATTTCAACTAAAAACACCCACTAGAATTTGTATCTTGTATCGCTTTACATATATTATATTGGTAATTAATTTGATATTTCATTGGAAGGTAAAACTAAAGTATTTGTTTATCAATTATATTGTTTGCATGTTTTGTATGCAAATGCAACAAAACACTTGGTATGTACTTGTAGCAATCAGCATCAAATAATCCTACCACTCTTGGGCGCTAGTAAAGCTGGATTTTGGGTGATTATTCATGTTAGAAGCAGAAGGATAGTTGCTCTCAAGCAGCTCTATGTGATGTGGCAAGTACCCCGGCCCAAATCTACAATACACGACAAATTGCTTAGTATCGATTATGTTAGTTGGTCCATATGAGGCACAAAGACATTACAAATTACAAAGAAAGAAGGTAAAATTCAAATGGGCGTTTCTATTATAAATGGACCCTCAACTTTTGTCACTAGTAGGCCAATTAATCATTAGTGTATAATAAAGACTTATGGAGTATGTGCTCTATATAGCTTTGGTAAAGAATTTATGTTTTTAAGGAAATTAAAAGTTTAAGTGTCGTCAATATTCATAATAATAGACCTTTTTCGAAAATTAATATAATTTAATCTTCTAAAATTCCACTATATTGTCACTTAATGTCACATCTAAAACAATAAACTTGTTTAATATAATATAAATCTTTGTTTTTTGAAGGAAAGTTACGTCAAATTAAGCCTTGCTATAGAACCGAATCAGACATAATCGGACCAAATCATAATACATCAAATCAACAAGTATTACAATAATTGCTTTAAATTACTAGTAGTGAGTTCAGTTGTGAACTAACTAGTCTAAATAATTCCGATCCCTTGGGATTTCCTTTCATTTTCATAGAATTTGACAACTATATGATGAGTTACATGCATTAATATTGACAAAATAATCATTGACTGTCTCATACATCAAAATATGTTGCAATTGAAGAATAAGAGGCATAAAAAAAACGCATGCATGCATTTTAATTTCATGAAATTGAGAACAAACCGACAATAACAAATTTCAAGAACATACTAAATTACACTGTTACTCAAAACACGAAAGTCAGAAATTAGGGCATATATATGAGTCATGCACTACTAATGCTTAGATAGTCTTTTCTTGTCCATCGTATATGTCGTTATAACGTCCATTCTTTGCACAACATTTGAAGAGAGTGAAGTGAAACAGGAAAAATACAGTAATAGATTGGTTAAAACTACATGCACCACTACTTTGATGCCTTTAATTATTTGTCTTCATTGCAGATGGCTTGGATATCTATGTTACCCATCACGCGAACCTCCTAATAAAAGCATCACACATTGGTTTTTATTGGCTAAATAAGTCACAAGAGTATTACAATATGATAAGATTTGAACCTATGACATATTGTACGTATATATACACATATCTAAATCTCATTGGTAGTATGTCGCACATTGAAATATAAATGATATAGAATTAACAATCTCTGACACAACACGACAACATGATATACATATCAATCAGTAAATATAAAAAGTAATTTGAATACAACATGATATACATGATATACAACATGATATACATATCAATCAGTAAATATAAAAAGTAATTTGAATTCGACACTACATGAACTTGAATCAATCATAACCAATTACAGAATATTTTTATGTACTTTTTACATATAGTTGTTGATATATTTAGTGAACAAATCCAAACTCGACATGAAATCAGATGCAAACACGACTAATTTACTTGTTTTGTGACCTTGTACCACGGCAACACTACAACGCTTAATTAACTAAGTGTAATACATTTGGTGAACAATTCAAAATTGACATGAAATCAGAATCGAACACAACTGATTTACTTTTTTTTGTGACCTTGTACCACGTCAACACCACAAAGCTTAATTAGCATTTAGCAAGTGTATAATTGTTGTACCTTGTCAATGACACAATACTCTTACAACTCGTGAAGGATAGGGGCTTAGGACCTGTTCCCTTCAGCTTAATTTCAGTTCAGTTTAGTTTCTAATTTCATCCTCTCATAAACATTTCAATTTAGTTCAGTTCAGCTCCAATTAGTTCAGTTCAGTCCAGACCCTTAATTGCTTAACTATGTATTTTTGATTTATTGTGTGAGATAGTTGTATCATAAGGAGCTACTCCTAAAAATTAAGCAAGGGTATTAAATGACCAATTATCAAATTTTGTAATGACAAATTATATAAATACTTATCAGACATGAGATCGTCTCACACTAGAGCTTGACCAAACAAATTTTTGGCCACTTGTTCAATATGATTGACGTTGAATTGATAAGTCGAAAACAGGGGTTCAAAAGCAAATTTTGCCCGTTCATATATAATACTACGTAGTGAAAACACACGCTGACAACAAAAGCGTAGGAATCAATTTTGAAGTGTGAAACCCAACTCCGCAAAGCAAAAGTGTAGCCATTACTCTCATGAACCAAATTAGGGAAGTTGTCCAAGCTTCACAAGACAAAGAACCAGAGATCACTAAATTATATTCAACCAAGTAGAAACTCTTGAACAAGTCTCAATTATTTGAACAATTTTAAAACCATATGTTACAACTTACAATAAAATTCACAACTGAACAACTTTAAAAACTTGTTACTACAAATTTTGCGCAATCACAAGAATAATGCGGACAAGTTTACCCTAGTTGCGGAAGTGTAACAGTGGTAAAAAAAATATATTAAAAAAAACATCACTTTCAGCTAAAGTTTGGATTTTTATGTGCAGATTTATAGCTTGGTTTCATTAAGGCAAAACAGTTCGTGACACATATTATTACTATGAAAGTAACACTTTGAAAATGACTTTAAAACAAGGGAATATTAAGGGGGTAAAAAAAAATAAAAAAAAAATTATAGTACAATATATACATGCATAATTATAATATATGGTCTAATGGTTATAATTCAAGAATAATAGTACTATAGTACCATGGACCCAAAATGAGGGCGGTTGGGGTTATACTTGAGAGAGTGTGGTAGAAGTTGTGTTTATAATTATCAAACAAGGGGTTCAAGACAAAGCCAATTCATGAGTTTATATGATGAGATACTACTTTTACTTGATTTGATTGTGCCTGTGTTTTTTACCCCATAAGGTTCGAGTCTATGTGTAGCACGAGAGGCGGCACACTCTTTTTAATATCGAATTTTTGGGTTTCATTCATTTCACCTAGAACTCTTTCATCTAATCACTAACAAAATGTATTAGAGAATAATATCACGATCTTTATTTTTTAAATCAATATGTTACCTGGAAATTCTTTTATTTTATCTTTAAGAAAAAGTATTAGAGAATAATATCATGATCTTCATTTATTTTAATCAATACGTCACTTAAAAGCTCTTTCATCTTATCTTTAAGAAAAGGTATGTTAGAGAATAATATCATGATCTTCATTCATTTTAATCAATATTGAATCATCCTAATCTAGATATTCCATCTTTATCATAATCTCAACTTATCTTAACATATCAATGTAATTTGTCGTAAATATCGGCTAGGTTAGCACCTATGACATGGGATGGAATCCCGTCTACATCACCGACTAATGTAGCTTTATATACGCGTAAAAACATTGATTGGAATATCATGTTATACACTTAATTATTATACTAGAATTACTAATGTCTTATTAATTAAGAATATAGCATTTTCTCGAGATAATTAATTATTTTTGTTATTACGAAAATGACCAAAAGAAATGAAATGCCCCAAATCTTATAGAACAATAAAAGCATGCCTACTCCATAAGTCATAACTACTAAAGGAATCATGAACTTAATAAGGTCTCTAGTCCAAAGGAGTTTTAATCATATCATATTTGGGGTCTTGGGGATCCAACATCTATTCCTTGAATAATGTCCAAAATGAAACATTAACCACGAGTTCTAAGAAAACTCTATTAAATGTAGGCTTGTACCATATTAAGTGATGGAGATTTGGGTGCATTTGGAATTTTGGAGTATTCATGCTACTTTAAGATTGACAGTTTTAAAGCATTACTTCATCAATATACTTCCATTCAGTCAAAGATCAGGTAACCGGAAGGAGAACTGCATTATGTACTCACATTGTAACTCCGACTATATTGTGATATGTCATGCCATGCCTAGCTCGTGCACATATCGAGTTGTGCCTAGATTTCGTGTAACCATCCATTTCAATGCATATCGCAGTGTCACGAATACCTCCATCTTTGAAGAAGGTGGTAATAAGATGATTATAAACATTATAAAGTCCATGGAAGATTCACATGCTGATAGACAAAATTAATGAAAAAATACAGCATTTTGGTATCCTAAAAGTTAAGCAGATTGACAGTAAGAAAACAAAGATGCAGAGTAGATACCAAATATGTCATGTAAAAGGTTTCTGACTCAAATTTTGACAACATTAAATATAGATGTATCGCCTAAAATATTGCGAAGTCATCCTCAAATTCCTTGGTTAACTTCGTCATCAAAAGAAGTCATTAAAAGAATACAAGAGCTAAATAAAACATCTTATGCAGGTTTTTTGCATGCAGCTTTACTAGCTGTAAAACATCAGAATTCAGTATTATATCCTATGACAGTTACAGATCGATTAAGCGTTGATAGTGTAATTTAAACTAGTAATATGACGCTTAAACCCAAACATACGCGGCATTAGAAGCGTAATTCAGCATATATCAATGAAAGCAGAGAAATGCAGGGGTGAATAAGGGGGAGAAATTATGATTAAACTCCTTGAAAGCTACTAGTCTACTACATTTGGTTTCGGAACAATATTTAATGATATCAATTACAGAATACAATGGTGTATACAAACCATCATAAACTGAATTCTAAACCTACAGAATCATTTTATCTTCACTTTGGATCTCAAAAGCTAAAATCAGTCTTCTGCTAAGCTACCTAATAAAGAAGGGTTAGGCTATATTTAGTCAGCTGCACTTATGTTACAAATCACAGGTTACACATTCTTTCTATTTTTTTTTTTTTCCTTTTTCCATAATTTCTTGTAAGAAATGTGCATTGGCTTTTTGCAGATTCTTCCCTCCTACTTGTCTACTCGTACCCACTCGTAACGTCCTGGGAGAGGCATATCGTTTTTGATATCATAGTTGTACCTGCAACATATAAAATTCGACCAACATAAGGATTTGTTGAACATAGCAGCAGAAGAAAAACACCCGAAGAAACAAGTAAAAAGCGGAAATAATTACTTTTCAATGAATAGTTTCTGCTGGTGATGCTCAAACCCGGCAAAGAACTCTTCCATCTCCGGGTTTGTCGGGATGGCTCTTTGTGTACTTCTAGTTCTTCGGTTGTTTACTACAGTGGAGCATGTCGGTCTAGTAGTAGATCCAGGCGTCCCAATAGTTTCAGCGTCTCTAATCAAGCTGCAAGGGGTGCTCTCCCGGGTGCTCCTGCAGTTTAAATGCACAACATATTTAATCCCACAACTCAATTCTTGAACAGTCAAAAACCAAAGACCAGAACAAATTCATGCAGGACATTAAAGAAACAGGCTTTAAGGATAAACAGTCTATTACATAAAGAAAAGCACAAGGACAACTTGAAGCTATTTATCTTTTTATAAGAATAAAATTTAACATCGTAGTATAACCATAAGTACATTAATCAGATTTGGCATTGGTCCCCAACAATACAAGATGGTTCATTTTGAACCAAAAAACACATGGCAGAATGATTTATTGCCGACATTTCAACACTCATCTTTGCTCCCAATTCAATCTTAAAACACCACAATTTATTACCAACCACTCATGAAATTCATTAAGACTACTACTTCCACCATTCAATACTAACATGTTTTAGTATTGCATATAAATTATGAAATGGCAGCAATATCATGCAGAGCTATATTGTTTCTCAAGACCGATGCAGACGAGCTGCAACAAGTTAGCTCAACTAATAATGTACTCATATCAAGCAAGGGCGTGTAAGATATTCAATTGAATGGTTCTATTAAGGTTACATCGCGTCAATGGAAATGTTTACTACATATCGCGCACAATACCACAATTCAATACCAATTAACGCCTATAGACGGGTTTATTCATCCGTGCCTAAAGAACTCGTTACCAACCTACAAAAACATCAAACACCGAAAACGAATTGATAAACAAAAAGAGCTATATCTTAGATTCTTTATATGATATATTGTCACGGGTCACAAAGGTTAGAAAACATTTGGCTTCATATAAAAGCCATAAGAGAAAGAAACAGATAGGCTGAGGGAGGATGCATTGAATGAACAGGAACAGCCAAAAGCATAAGTTGCTTTCTAAAGGAGATATTCTTGGATTCTATTTGATATCCATAAGTTTGGCCCATGACATATTATATGAATTAAACAAAAAATATACAAAAATGAGGTGTTCCTAAAATTACAATTCTTGTGTTGATTTGGTTGGCCAGCTATAACACGGTAAATGTTCCTAAAGTCATAGGTAAGCTATAATTTGTAATTGGGGCGATTTTATATCACAAATTCTTGTATAAGACGGTTTGTCGTGTTCCGACTCCATTAAACCGGAGTCGGAACAAGATAATTATGAATATGAACAACAGATATATAATTCCACAAAAATACAATAGCAACCTTAGTTTGAATTATTGTTTTACTTTTTAAAGAGAAAGTAACAACTACCTAGCTAAGGTTCTAAATTGAGGAACTGAAAAGCTTCAATTTTTTGAAGATACTTTATATTCACAAATGTGTGCAAACCCAAAACTCACATGATTGAGCCTAAATATTCCGCTTTTCGCCCCACATTTGATGCACTTGAAAATACTTTTTTTTTACTCCAAAAAAAAAAAAAAATCAAATAAATTCCCTTTTTTCTTGTTTTTTTTTTCCTATGAAAATTCCATGAAAATTAAAAAAAAAAAACTCTTCAAAAAAATCCAATAAATTCCCTTTGTTCTAATTTTTGTTTCCTATGAAAATAAAAATTAAAAAAACCCTCTTCGAAAAAATTACTTTTAAAAAAAAAATTAAAATTTACAACAAAGTTCTACTTTTATTTCCTTTAAATTTTATTTTGATGAGAATAAAATAAAAAAGGAGAACTTTTGAGGAGTTCCAATAATAAAAATAAAAATTAAAGACAATTCTAGATCAAACAAGAAAAAATTGACAGATGGCATACATGAACAAGAAGTGTTGTTTTCAATATTCATCTTTTTGGAAAAAGAAAGGTTACCCATTTTTAAAGAAATCCCACTCTCAACAATTAATTTTAATAAATTTTCAACAACAAAAAAAAAACATTAAAATTAAATTAAACAAAACAAAACCAAACCAAACACAACAAACCCAAATAAATCAATCAATGAAAAATCAAATTAAAAGTCAAAAAAATAAAAATAAAAATCAAACCTTTCTCTGGAATCAAAATCTAAATTGTTCTCTCCAAAAGAAGCTTCAACAGTACCCAGATCATGAAAATCCTCGGAATCACCCCCATCAGTAAAATGACGAAAACGCCCTCGTCCACCACCAACAACACCACTTTCCCCTTTCTTGGACCCACCCGAGTTAACCGGGTTGACCCGAACCCGACTCCTCAAATCCGAATTAACCGGCGGCGGAGTCAGCGGAAGAGGCTTCTCAAGGCGGCGACTACGAAGCTGAAGGTAAGAAAGTTCAGGGTTTGGTTGAAGAGCGAGGGTTCGAGCCCTAGTACGAACACCCAAAGAAGAAGATTGAGGGATTTCCATTACTGCTACATCCCCTGTAATTTTACCCTTTTTCATGTATTTTCCCATGATTTTATTATTATTATTATGATATTATATGATCAGAATTTCATGAAATTGAAGGCGCGAAAATGGAGATTTGAGAGGAGGAGAGAGAAAGCGAGGGGAGAAATGAGCGGGATGAAGAGGAATTTGTAATGGAGAGAAAAATAAAATTAAAAGTTAGGGTTGGAAAGAAAAGAGGGATTTTTGATTTGGGGGAAAATCAATTGTATAAATATAAGTATAAATGTGAATAAAATATTATAATAAGGGTTATATAATTTTATTTTATTTTATTTATTTATAATAAGGTGAAAAATGTATTACGGGGAAACAGCGGCACGCATTATTGGTTTGTGTCACGGTATTTTGGTGATACCAAGTATTTATAACGGAGGTTTGTTGACGGTGATTCAGGTTTTTTTTTTTTTACATGCACATGACTTGCACGTGTCTTTGTTATTTCTAATTTTGGATTCCCTCCTTTGGGTTTTTTTTTTGCGGAATAAAAAAAATTAATTTATGTAAATCTTATACGAAGTATTTCGTATTAGTGATGATGTCGTATGACTTTTTATTGGGTGAGAAATTTGTAAAGGATAATTCTTTAATAATGAGGGTGGACCGTGGATGTATAAAAGATAAGCTTAGGGTGATAATTATGATGTGGATATTGGATATTGGGTACACTAGTAAGTTGTAACTATTGTGATAACGATTTATTTTGATTTGTTGATATCATATGAATTTTATGGTTTTTTATATGAATGTTTAAAACAAACATGGCCTAATAGATTAATTGGCTAATAGGTAATTAATTGAGGCTAAAGAAAACTTATTTTATGAGGATGGGAAGGAAAACTAATGGTATGAAATCAGTGAAATTAATTTGGTATGGAATTATATCGTGATAACTTATGGTGAGATTGGTGTGTCTTTTAATATTTTGATTCGAGCTTGATTTGTTATTACTTATATTTTTCTTGAAAAAATAGATGCAACTTTAGTAACATCGATAATTCATCAATTTGGAGAGAGGGTGAGATAGAGAATAAAAAATTGTGACAGTGCGTAGTTAAGTAATTAAGTTAGACCTAGCTCGGTAAGTCATATGATGTACGTAGATTATATAATAAATTTTAATTTTGTTGGTATTGAAAATTGACATTAGAAAATTGGTGCTGTTTGATTAGCTAGTCTTGTTTACTCTTTACATAATTTCAAATTTTTGTAATTTTAACTGTCTAGAAATAAAAGTCAAAATATTGACAAGGTATAAAAGTCAATGTGTTCCATCTAAAAAATGGATGTGGTATAGATTAATATATTATTACGCTAAATTTAGTTTTCGTTGTTTCCTTAACAACTAACTTTGAAGTAGATGGGTTTTTTTTTTTAAAAAAAAAAAAAAAAAAAAAAAAAAAAAAAAAAAAAAAAAAACTTTAAAGTAGATGATGACTAGATGTAAGCACGGTTTTTAAATATTTTATTTTTTATATTTTTTGTTTTTATTTTCTATTCTATTATTTTAACATTAATTTAAGGTAAAATATTTTGTAAAGTTTTAAATTATTCTTATTCAAATTTTACGTATACAGAACTTGAATTTATAAATTGAAATAAATATTATCTCATTCATCGGATAGTTAGATAAAATCATTAAATCAAAATATATTTTTTAATTTCTAATTATTTGTTAAAATAATATAAATCCTAATGTAAAAGATAATATAAAAGATAATTTTTGTTTTTTTTTCATAATTTATATCTTAAATTACTATTTTTTGTATTCAATTCTCAAATTTCATTTGTTATTTTTTTCTTAAATGGCGACTGAAAATTTAAATTTTAAATTAATATATAAATCTAATTTTTCATTGGTCGAAATATTACTTTTGCTTATGTGGCGAGCGATGCACGAATTTTTTTATACATTTTGTATATAAATATTTTTAAGGTGATCTCTTAATTTTTTTTCTTGCATTATAAGTTTTAAAATTTTGTATGAAAATATCATATCATCAGATATTTACATAAAACCATTAACATCAAATGATAATTTATATTTTTAAATATCAAAATATAATTTTTAGTTTTTTAAATAATATAGATCCTAATATCTAAAGATAATTTTTATTTGTAACAAATAAAAATGATAAAATTTAGTGTTCTTAAATAATTAAAATTCTAATAAATTACTATTCGTCGTTTTTACGCACGTGGAAAAAATTTAAAATTTCATTCGTCACTTTTGTTTAGGTGGTGAGTGATTTTTTTAATTCTAAAATAAAATAGAAATCTAATTTTTAATTGGTCGATAATATACCTTTTCTTATGTGGCGCTCCCAATGCTCTCCAAAAATGCCTACTTTATTTATATACTAGTTTTGTGCCCGTGCGATGCCCGGGTTCTTTATTAAATTTAAAGATATATTTTAATCTATATGTCAAATTTTAAAACATATCATTGATACAAAATCAGTTAGGAATTGACGTGTTTTTGTGACGATTTAAACTTGTAGATATGTAATGACAAATAATAATAATATTGGTGATTTTTTTTTTTTTTTTGACCTTGTCTGAAATGACTCGTGACCCGACCTAATTGACAGGTCTATACACAGTAATAAAATTATATTAGATTGTGAAGTATATTATTTTAATTGATTAGAATATATTATAAATCATGGATGTGGTACATTTTGAACTAATTCCTTTGCTCCAAAAAAATATTATGATACAAAAAATAAATTTATATGATAATTTATGACAGTAATAATCTATTTTTTTTAATAAAATTATAATTCAATTTGTACATATGAAATATTGGTACTTTATCAAAAATAAAACTCTAAATTAACAATTTTATCCTAAACTTCTATCCAAATTTGATTGAAAATAAAATTCTAAACTATCTTTTTTATCCTACAAATTGAATTCTATATAATTCTATCCTACGTGGCACGACACTTGGCAAAAAGTTGGAACGCTAAGTGTCGCTATCTCGTCGCCTGGCTAAAAGTTTAGTTTTATATTTTCTATCCAAATTTGATTGAAAATAAATTTCTAAACTACCTTTTTTATCCTAGAAATTGAATTCTATATAATTCTATCCTACGTGGCACGACACTTGGCGAAAAGTTGGAACGCCAAGTGTCGTTATCTCGTCGCCTGGCTAAAAGTTTAGCTTTATATATTACTTATATGATATTAGATTGTACAATTATTACTATATCTAGTATCTACTAAATGTATGTTTAATTGACAATTACTTTAGTTAATTAAGGGTCTGTTCTCATTGACAAAACTCAGCTGAACTGAACTGAACTTATTAGAGATGAACTGAACTGAACTTAACTTATTAGAGCTGAACTGAACTGAAGTGAGCTGAATTGAAATGAATATTTTATAAGAGAAGGAAATTAGGAGTTGAACTAAACTAAACTAAACTGAGTTGAGCTGAACTGAATTGAACTGAAAATAATCATATGAGAACGGGCCCTAGTTTTGAGAAGTGTTACTAAAGACAAGGCAAGGTATCATTTCATATCCACATCATTTGATATTTGTAAATATTGTGATTCTTTCTAATATTAATGTGGCTTGTATTAGAGTCATAAAACATTACATATATCATTGTAAATACCACGCAGTGAACACGCTTGCAAGATAAAGCAATATAATGGATAACAGTATAAGCAGATCAAAATTAAATTGTGATATCAATAGTTATAAAGCATTCAATTTTAAAGATCAGGAATCATTACATTCAAATCGCAAAGCAATAATGGTGTTCGAACCCAAATTTGGTATAATCTAATATCCTAATACCGCTACCTTTACAACTAAGAATATGATTATGGTTACCATTTATATAGATGCATCTGCACCACAAGCACCATGCTATATATCAACACGTGTTTTTGCAAATTAAATAACACTTTTAAATTTCTCTCATTACAAGTATATGTAACACTATATGTGACACATAGACCACTTCACAAAACATTGTATAAACTATATGAGTAATTTATTACATACACAAACAAAATATACTTCGTACAATGCTTCATTTATAAAGTTTTTTCCATGTGAAATTATATATCTTACCACGCTACATAGTTCATACATTGTGCACTTTTGTTAGCTTAGGTTAAGTCTTTGTTCTTTTGATATGCTATGGTCTGCTCTGCTCTGTTCAGTATAAATAGGGTCTGTCTATTAATATATGATGTCAGTTAATTTTTTATTTTTTTTTAAGAAAAAAATCATGAAATTCAATATATGAAACACATTCACATTTCATCGTCATTCATAAAAGAACATGTATGCCATAAGCCCATAATACAATAATAAGATCTAGTGTATGATTTCCATGCTCCGTGAAGGCTATAGCCATAGCACACACGTACTTCATTGGCACACATATGCTTCTCTCTCTCGATCGTTGTACGTAGTAGACTAGGTAGCTACAAGCTAGATTCTTGGCTATATAATCACTATGGATGCATGTATGTCACAATATCATAAATGAAGTAAATTTGGTAAATTCGAGATACATAGGTATAAAATTTTCAAATTTTGCATTTATTTTAGGTAGGATTAGTCTGTGTAGGAATAAGGGCATCAATACACAAGAAACCTAGAATAATGGGAAGAAAATAAGTTCATGATAATCATAGAGAAATCGAGATTACTAGATAGAAAAAACACATGTTAGGATTAGAAGTAATATAAATACGTATGAGGTATGAGATACGTCAATATGTATATATAAACTCTTGCATTATTAAAACAATATTATGTATATGTGAATTTTGTAATATAGGTAAAGGTGCACCTCGGCAAATCAATTATTTCATCGATCAATGATATTCACTCTCTCCTCAACTCGTTTGACTATTGGCAATTTGTCATAACAAATCGTGCAAGGGATTACTAGCTAGATTGCTAATGTTGATAACCTAGTCTCCACTAGTACGTTTAGATATTGAGCTTTGTAACAATTTTGAATTATATTCTATAAATTTTCAAATGCATTAATTAGACCGATGCTTCCTTTATGAGAATGGTCTCTAATCCTGACGTTTTTATTTTCTTCTTACCAAAAATATGATCATATAATAAAGTTGTTTAATTAATTAACTATCTATTAACTAGGAAAGAAGGTTAATTAGTATAATTAATTAAGTGGGAGTTTTGGAATTTTAGGTGATGGAATATATTAAGTACTATGTCTTGGAAGAGTAATAGCAAAGCATGGTAACATGG